GCGCCTAGGAGGCAAAGGTGTAGGCGGGTGCTGTTGGAGGACATTGAAGAAGACAAGCATAGGATCATTGAAGACGAGCTCGTCGTATTGCCAGGAGTGCACCGGTCCGTGCTTGATAGCCACATCGAGAGGAGGGATCTCGGATTCACCAGTCGCTGTCCATGGATGTAGTTTGAGATGGTGAGCGACGAGGATGGGTTTCTCGCCTGACTCTCCGACAAAAGCAATCTTGATTTGGATCTCAAATTCTCCCCATCCTGTTTCTGTTAGCTCAAAGGGGGCTTTGTCTACGTCTAACGACTAGTCGGTGAAAAGGAATGCGAATGAAACGGCTAGATTACTGACTTCTGGTAGGATTGGGATAGGTGTCGTGCAGCTTGAACGTCACGCGTTTTATACAGTAGCTGAGGTCGTCTGCGCCTCCAACTTGGTCAGAGTTGGGCACAGAGGCCGCACTACGGACAGCAACCGTCCATCGGTGGGTATGATCACGCGAAGAGAGCTTTGCACGCTCGTCATCTGTCAGCGCAACCGCGACATTGCCGTATATTATTGGTCTGTAGACAGTGATTCCCTATAAAATCTGGTCAATCCTTGTTGAAATAGTAGAGATTATCTGAACTTACTCGTTGTCGGACACGGTCAGCAGCAGAGGACATGGACGCGGTCGATCGAAAAGGGGCCTGGGAGCGGTCTCGGCATTGCCCAACTCCGCAAAATCCCGCTTTCACCCAGCCCATCAACAACGACCTCGGTCAACTCTTTCCACCTTACAACACAGTTCCTCGCCAGCCATGGGCCTCCTCACTCCCTTGTACAACCGTAAGCATTGCCTGCTGGATTATAAGAAGATTTAGAAGGTCTTACTGTTTTGCTAGTCCCCAACAACGTTCTTGAGAAGCAGAGGCGCTACCAGGTACGCTGGCACTGAAAATATGGAAGGAATAATGGTGCTGAAAGAAGTTTCTTTGGCTATAGAATGACCACCGAATGATGCCTCTGCGTGGTCCCCGTGGTCGCCTCTACTTCTGTGAGTAGTCATGTTTGCCCAGAACAACGTCCCGTGTTAAATTTGGGCCCTTAGCCGCGTTCACAGCTCTCTTCGCAGTCGGAATGACTGCCACCACATGGGGTACCTACAACTTGGTTGCGGTACGTACGAGTCGTGTTTTGAGAGGACTTGCTTGCTCATTCTATTCAATTAGGGCAAGCCAGCGGAGTAAACGCAAGGATTCCTACCCCGTCACCCATTCATTCCCTCAGAGTCTTTGGAAGCCCTTAGAACTCATAATATGAATATAGATTTCCTTACAATCAACGCAACCGAGGCAGTGAACGCTCGAGCTGTTTCAGGACATCCATTCATTTGAGAAAGCGACGCCGGCAACCTGGGTCTAAAACAGCAGCAGACTCGTAGAACGCGTTCCATCTGTATCTACAGTCCCGGAGCATTTCTCCGCACCCACGAAGAAGCTGCACCAAACCATGACTTTCCGATTCGAGCACACAGATATGCCTCAAAAGGTAGGTAGCCTCATGGGCTGTGCGCCTACTTCTCTCCGCAGGCACGCAAGAAGGCTTTTGCTCTTCGGCCCTTGTGCGTCTTGTTTGTCCAGAATGCTCAGAAGCCACGGATGCCGAAGTATGAGCAGGCTTGACCGTCACCGATTTTGCGGGAATGAAGACATTCCGTCACGATCTCCCTACCCGCTTCCGCAAATAGTCGAGAAGCAAAAGGTTCTCCCAGTCCAGCCATGGGTCAAGTGACACTTTATGTTGTCTCTTGCATCAACTTTGATGCAGTGCTCACGGGATTCTTGAGAGATGAAGATCATGGTCAAGGGTTTCGAAACATGGCCCCTGATTGTACATTACATAGCATCTCACCGGCGCTTATTTGGGTCAATTCATTCATTCCGTAGTCCATGCTCTCCGCATTCGCTTTCTTTCTCTCATACCACCATCATGTCAATGTCGCTAGGCTACGGTAAACGCTACATTCCCGAGCTCCGGAATTCATACGACGAAGGTTATGGACCACCAAACTACGAACAGGCTGTCAGCTCCAGGTACGTTCCTCCCTGCCATGGGGTGATTTGATGGGGTCTGAATGCCAGATATGTCTTGATTTCCATTCCCCTTTCCCTGCACTCTCTATGTACCACCCGACTGCCAGTGGTGGAACCGATGCAGACTCGATAACGCCAGTGACCGCGACCGCAGTCTGGTCGCCGGCAAGCCCCCGCACAGCGCCATCCAGGTACGCTTTTACAGCCGTCCAAGAACCGGCGCGGGAGAAGCTCATTTCATGATAACCTTAACGAACGCCGTAGTACCACTGCGGAATCTACACGGCATAACTCTTCAAGACGTCCCCTTCCCCATCCACAAGCCCAACAGCAGCCTCATCAACCTCGGTCACGGAACTTTGAGCGCTATGTGTATCGATATCGCCTCGCAGTAGGAGGATCGCCCGTCGAGTTTCTTATCTCGTGAGTCTACCTCCTTCGTCGTCCCCCATCCATCGCAAGGCTATGGCTGAAGGGTAGCTTGTGTTTATTGACAGAGTTGAGCCAGAATCAGGGAGGCCGATAGCGGGCAAATACACTTTTAGGCTCTCTTTCAAAGTGAACGGCGTCGAACGCCCGATATGCGAACCGGTGGAAAGGGTGTTATCGGTGGATCCACGGCATCTCGAATTCGTCGTCTTGTGAGTACTCACAACCTCATGTTGCAGAAACGTGTTGTGCTAACTGACGTGCCCTTTTGTATTCATTCTACCTTGCGCCTTCAAATTGCAATCTATCCATCTTTGGTGCATACCACGGGATCGAGCAGTGTGTTTCCTGGGAAGACAAGTCTACCTGCAGGCTGCCTATGGTCCGTTCGCGCGTGGCTAAGAGTCAACGGTGCAGACCATCGGTTATTTGGCGATGATGAGCTGTGGATAGGAAAGGACCCAGACTTTAATTCTATTGGAGACGCCTCATTTGGAAGATTGAAGGTGCAAGATGCAACCCAGCAGGTGTACAATGCGTTTGTAGGGAGGGCGTTGGTGACTTTTACATTCAGGTACGTGTGGGTACCCATCCGGCTTTCACGGCGAAAGGCTGACAATGTATAGATGGGAGAAAGTTACGGGAAACCTGTATCGATACTCGTTGGATTATGAAGCAGGAGGTGTTGGTACCAATCTCTTTGAAGACTTTCGGTTAAAGATCGACGGAGACCCTCGCAATATCAGCTTCTTGGTCTTGTAAGTCTTCGTTCTTCAAACTCCAGACCCAGATCACTCATCTTCTACAGTACCGTCCCCGCCAATTCTGTACCCTCTGGCGCCTCCCACAAACTACGCGTCTGGCTCCGTTCGCCTACGCCGCTCAGCCGGGATCCTTCGGCAAACTATGCTCTTCCCTTCAACGATTCCTTCGTCTACCAACGAATATGGAAGACGGATGATTTCAAGATCGGGGCACAGCTCAACTTGAGGCCTTGGGTCCCAAATGGTTATGGCGTTCACAACGGAAGGACCAGAAACGGTGCCGATGCCTAGTCCACCGAGTCCGGCCTGGGCATGGAGGGAGACAAAACTCGATAACATTTGTTGAGCCACTAAAAGGGAATGATTATGGGTATAATTTTTGAGCATGGCTTTGGTCGGACTTACGGAGTCGGGGAGGCTGATGAGTTTGGTCTTTTTCTATCTTTATGCTCTCTCTTCACATCTTCTGTCTGCTATAATTGCGGGTGTTGTAGTTATGACCAACATACAAATTTGTACTTTTAGCATTGCTCGTACACATGAAACTTACTATACAAGGCGTATGTCCGCCTTTCCTGGCTTCTTCATAATATGTCGTTCATTTCAAATGATCTTACTTTCAAGAAACTTCTTCCAATCGGACTCTCCCCATCCACTAGAAATCTCTCCAGCTACGAGCCCGTCCAAGAGGACAGTGGGCGAGACGTGAATGCTGTTCTGACGGGAGAACTTGACTAAAGGTAGAAGAACACGCTCAGCTTTCATCCTTGCTTCCGTGTAGCAAGTGTTTGCGTAAAATGATTGACTTACTCGTGTACTTCAGATCATCCGAGACAGCCACTCCCCCGTTAGGAGTGCCCTTGAGCTTCAGCAATTCGCGAACTTCGTCAACAGCATTGGCAGGAATGACTTCCGACGCAAGCGTTGCGAGCTTGTCGCGAATTTGAACAGGGCTCAAATTGGATGCTGGAATGTCAAAGTATTCTTCTTGATTCTTGAACAACTACGGTTCACTTCATGAGCACCTGGATAACAAACTGCGGTGAGATGATCAGCACACACCAGAAGGCTGTAAGCCCAGAAGTTGTCTGGCGATGCACGCAAGACCTGGATCTGATTAGCAGTGGATAGAAGTATCATTGGCAGGAGATCTCACAGCCAGTCCTGATTCGTGCGTCAAGGTAGAGGTAGCATGCCACGGCTGTACTTGAGGGCGGAAGATGACCTTGACCTTGCCCGCGTATTGACCTCCTTGCTCAAACAATGGTTTCAAGATAGTATCGATGGCCTTGACCATCTTTGCGCTAAACATCCTGCGATTAGCCCTCAGGCGATCACCTTGGGAAGAGCGCTACCTGAACGGGCAAACATAATCCACTATCGCTTTGTGGTTAGCAAGGAAGCAGTAACCTCAGATCGCAGCTAACTTACAGAAGATGTCAAGGGTATGAGGTGCATTCGGATCGCCGGCGACGATCAAGGGTCTCAAGGAAGGTTGAAGAGCCATGCTAGCAAGATACAAGTTGGGTTAGGCTGGATGGTCAAGGAATATGAAGGAATGAATATCGATAGCTATAGGGGTTCTATCAATGACGTGACCATTCAGCCGACTGGCGAACTCGGGTGGCTTTACGAATCATCATGGGCGTCTAAAAGCAAGCATAGGAGAGAACGGCCTGAGGCAAAAGTGAAGATGGGAGTGGAACCATCTTACGTGCGCTAGAATGTGGTAAAAGGTTGGTTCAATCCGGGGGTCGAACCGGAGACCGTCTGTGTGTAAGACAGAAATCATAACCACTAGACCATTGAACCAATGGCTTTCAGAGGCCTTCCACATGACAGATTGCGCAAGGCTTGCATTTCAAGACTGATGATGTCCCCTCTCTCCTATTATTCGTATTTAGAAGCACTAAGTGCCTCCGCTTATCTTAAACCACCATGGCTTCAAAGGATGACCAGGACCAGGGCCGGCACTACCACACCGAGTGCACAGGGGACGCGCTAGGGACCGTTCAATCGCACCAAGCCGACCAGGACATCACTTTGTTCGGAAGTTGCTTCTGTCCCTTCGTCCAGCGAGCTTGGGCTACGTTTGAGGCCCTCCAGATCCCGTACAAGGTGAGGTTATTGCTGATCTGAAGTAGCCCAATTGACTGACTGGTATTGTAAAGTATGGTGAGGGCGCGGTCTTGCGGAGACCATCAACAGCGTGCTAACTACGCTAAAAGTTGAAGTCGATCCTTACAAAAAGCCAAAAGAGCTGGTGGAGCTCTCTCCCAAGGGCTTGGTTCCGGCACTGCGCTTGAACTCGTTCAGGCCCACCCAAAGCCCTGAACGAGAGCACTATAATCATGGAATATCTTGAAGAGTGAGCCAACTTGAACAGACCAACAACCCAACAGCTTTACCAACTGTGAGCAGTGTCGCAGCAGGTACCACAAAACAGACGGTGCTCCCACTTTCATCGAATCCATGTGCGATTAGGGTCACATTGATGATCTTCGTCAAGCACTGACTCCACAATACCAGATGCACGGGCTCTTGTTAGACTTGCCGCAGACCAGGTGAACAGGAATTTCATCCCGGCATTCTATCGTTATCTCCAGGCGCAGGAAGAATCAGCGCAGGTTAAGCATGGAAAAGAATTCCACGACGCCATCCAGTCGTTCGTAGGGACCCTTGAACGACTTGAGAGGGGATATCTTGTCTAGCGGGCGGTGCATCGGGAGAAGGAGAGCTGGCTTCGCTGAAGAAAGGTTTGGGACTCTGGGTCGAGGGGAAACACAGAGCTTGGATGGGCAGATATTATGGCTGCACCATGTATGCTCCAAACGCATGTTGGTTACACACGATTAACTTGCCGTCTTGGGGGCTCTCTACCGCGCCATGACCGTACTCACTCATTATCGCGGATTCAAGCTGCCTGAAGGAAGAGATTCAACACTTACATACAGAAAATCTTCAATCATCCAAACTTCAAGGCGACCTGCAGTACAGAACAGCTCTACCTTGATAGCTATGAGAGGTTTGCATTGTCTCATTGAGATCCACAGATCAGCTATGCTAATCAATGAAATCTAGATATGCGTTCAACAGACCCAATACGAGCATGGTTGCCACTGCGATAAACGAAGGAAGAGCTTTGCCGTAGACGAGTCCCTGTATTTTAGCTCAAGAACTACTCGTCGATCTCATCCAAGGGCTCCGACTCGGTACTCGGACCGCCTCTGACTCGGAGTCCTGTCATGAATCAAGGTAAGGTAAAGTTTACGGAGTATTGGAACAATCCCCCATCTATCTATCAATGGGTGAGCCTCGGCCTGGCTTGTCACCGGAACCGTCGTCGAATTCTTATCACTGCGAGTTACTTATTAACATTCTTTACCCGACAAGCACCACCCCAGCCATAATGTCATTCGCCAGCAAGCTTCCAAGGAGACTTGGAAGCTCTATCCAATCTCCTCCACTCGGGCGCTCCCTATCTCGAAGCGGATTCGTCTGGGCGCACAGCCTTACATTGGGCAGTAACTCGGCAGCGCTTGGATATGGTCACAGCACTCGTATCCCACCACAATGCACACAAATACGATAATCCTCCCCTCAAACACCAATTCTATACTCTCACATACGATGAGATTGAAGATCTTCTCCGTAAAAAGTCTGTTACGTGTTCACACCCATCGAGGCTGTGCGGCCAGAGGCAAAAAATGAAGCCATCTCACCTTTCTTCTCGAAATCTGGATGTCCCCGCTCCATGGCCACCACAGATTGAACCCTGTGGTGGCCTACACTGAACTCGTCCGATGATGCACTTCGCCGGCTTTACCCAACTGATGAACGCCAAAGCAAGGTTGCCGTGAACAAGGTGGAGGGGGAAGTGGTGCTGAATAGACAGACCCTTACCCATCTAGCCGTTAAGGACGACAAGTTCGCCGTGTTCAGCATGCTCATCCAGCAATCCATCGACACGCAATACACATTCGGGCCAGAGAAGCTGACCACTCTCCACATGGCTGCAGCACTCGGGCACGACCGTCGCTATATCCAGTTGCTTCTGGACTTTGGGGCAGATCCAAATGTCACAGATGGAAGAGGGCACACACCCCTAGCCCTCGCAGTCAACGGGATGAATGAAGAGGCCGTGAAAGCGCTCCTCCAGTTCGGGGCATCGCCCAACGTCTTTGATGAGGAGTTTGGCTTTCCTCTTTCAAGGATATGCGACCTGGCGCTTCGCTACAAATCCGACCCCGACCCCGACCTTCCTCTACGCATCATGCGAGCATTATTGGAAAAGGGGGCCGATGCCAATGCGAAGAATGACAAATCGCTAAGTGCGATGGGACGGCTCGGTGGAACGGCTCTGCACGTTGCCGCAACAAACGAAACAACTCCTCGATATGTGCAAGAGTTGATTCCTGGGGAGGAAGGATCGACGCAACGGATGCAGCAAATGTGCAGGTGCTGCATTACTTTGCCGTTACAACCTTTCGCACGATACCAGGCACGGTTGTCCAACCGTTCCTTGAGACCTTCGACGCGATGGTCACGACCCTCGGTACCCAGTCACAATTTGAAGCCATCTGGGCCTCTGCTTCAGATTTTGGCGGTGGCCATGACGTGGATGTCGAGGTGCGACGGCACCTGTGGTGCCTTGGGTGGCCAGGCCTGACTGGCTCGAGATGGGGGATCCATGGGCTGCTCCTGAGACCGTCTACCTCCTGGAGCGGCTCGCATCGAAGCTTCGTACCTCCGGGGGTAGCTGCCCTGGATTGCGTCACAACCCAAGTCAGCTTACGAGACCGTACTCGAGTGGATATACCGTCATCGGCTGGATGGTCGACGAGTTGCTGGCAGCCTCAGCTCCCGCAAGGGAAGCCGCCCTGGATACATTCATACATCTGATCGGCATCCTGGACCAAGCAGGGGTACTTCTCGACGAGTCGGTATAGGATTTGGACACGCACTAAGAACGATAGTCGAGTTTTGGGAGGGGGATGGGTTAGAGCCTATGGTGCAAACAATGCTGGACGTGGGTTCTACTGTTGGGTGCCAATACGGTGGCGGTTCAGACTGTCGTTTTGAATACTTGGAAATCGTCGCTATCGCTGCGGCTAAAGGGAAACACTCCTTGTGTCAATCCTTTTGGGCAGCGCCCTTACAGCCTGGGGTCAAGCCGATCAAACACAGAGCTACCCATCTCCAATCTGGCTATCTCACTTTTCAGATCCGCCCAGACTACGACAGCGACACGAGCGCTGTATTGGCTTGCTTGGAGCAAAAGGGCGCGGTACGATGCCACCTACCTCAACCATCCATCTGTCAGTTGGGGCGTCCAGAAAGGAGATATCGAAGGTGTGAGGGCGTTATTGGCCGACCCCAATAGCAAGATCAGCGAGCAGGAACTGGAATACGTTTTCAATTGCGCGATTTCTAATGGACAAATGGGTTAATTGTGCCCTTGTTGGAGGCAGGAGCAAGGCTCAATCTACAGGCCAGGCTTGTGGGTGACGGCAGACGAATCCTATCAACCTCCCGTCTCGTCACCCCTTTACACTACGCGGTGTGTCGGGGAAAGCCATTGTGAGGCAGCTTCTCGAGTTTGGTGCCGATATCGAGGCTAGAGTGAAGATCATGCCTAGGCGCCGGGACAGCATTTGGGACGGCAAAACTGCTTTGGAGATAGCACTATTGCTTACAGATGGCCGCCTTGGGCCACCCCTGCATCCATCTCGGCTGGCAGTAGCGCAGGTGCTGCTCGAGCGGGCTGCCATACCTGCGCGGGTAGCCAAACTGTGGAAATCACTAGATGGCGAAACTATCTTGAACAAGTTCTCGGGCTTCCCAAGAGCTTGGGATATTGTGGTCAAGGCAATCGGAGAAGGGAGTTGGATGGCTACGAGTCTGAGGAGTCAAACGAGGAATGGGAGGTCGGAGGATTACTTGATTAAACGAGAGGCGCGAATAAAGAGACACATATATCCAAACACGGCGAATGCTACTGCCTTTCTGACATTCATTTACGCATCCTCTTCTTAAACCGTTCCATCACCTGAAACGGGCATATCAATACCAGTTACAAACCGTTCAGGAGAGAGCATCTTACCATCTCGTCAGTGGCCGTCTGAACACGGTCATGGTTGGAACGACGCGGTGAATCGTCCTGCGGAGGGAGACCCATAGCCTCCAACTTAGCATCCCGTAAGATATCAGCATCCGATTTGGCGCGTAGATTAGGTCGGTAGACTGCAGCGTATTCCCGTTCAGCAGAGTGCATAGCGAGAGGGACCAGGCAATACTAACATCGCGTTGTAGCCACCAAATGCTCCTCGTCGGGACTGAGCTTCTTGCGTTCATGACGTTCCTCAGCAACACTCGCTTTGCCTTCTCGTATCCTCGATATTCTTCAGTCGCGTGCTGGAAGCAGAGGACGTCAACATCCAGGTGTCCAAGGCACAACGCGGGTACTTACTCCATACCAAGGTCAACTTCAGGAATCGCCGTCAACATTGACATGCTATTCGTAACATTGCCCTCCTCAGCTCTTGCCCTCTCAAGCTGCTTGTACCGCTCCACGACCTGCTGGTACAGTGCGTCATTAGGATCCAAAGGCTTCTTGTCGTCGTCGTCTTCATCATCGTCTTTCGGTTTACTTCGAACCTTGAGGTTCTCTTCAATGTAAGCCATCCTGAGAAATTAGACATTCGTTCCTGGCAAAGAGCTCCCTGGGGCACTCACATGTGTTTGTCAACGTCGAGAGTATTCGTCTGCTGGGTGAAGTTATTCGCTCGCACGACTCGGCGCGCTCTAGCGTC